AAGGAGCAGGGGAAATTTCCGTGGTAACATACTGACAGCTAACAGCTTGACAAGGAGAGACTATCATTCTGTCTTTGTCTCTCTTACATCGCATATGTAGTAACATCCATGTAGACACAAACACTAATGCGTTGAACGAATGCGATTATTGGGAGATATCAGCAAGAACCGGTTTTCGTATTATCATTGTTTCTCTGTATATGTATATTATATGTAAAAGAACAATAAGAATAGCAATAATTCTTGCCTAACATTATCTTCCAATTATCGTTTCGTGTACGCAATATATATTTCACATTATGCATCTGTAACAAATAATCGAATGATTTATTTAAATATTTGCATATAATCTATATAAATCTATATAATAAATAAATGTGTAATAAATTATCGAATGATTTATTTCAATATTTGCATATAATCTATGTAAATAAAATATGTACAAATAAAATAATATTTATGCAAATATTATTTTATTTGTGTACATATTTTATTTATTGTATATACCCAAACAACACCAAGTCCAAAATTGGCGCGTAAGATATCTTTAAGATGTCTTTTTGATATCATATCATAAGATAGTTGTCTTAAAGATTTCTTAATGCTATCTTATGCGTCAATTTTAGACTTGGTGCTGTCTGGGTAGATAATATGCAAATTAATATGCAAATAATAAATCATTCGATATAATTTGTTACAGATGCATAATGCGAAATACATATATTGCGTACACGAAACGATAATTGAAAGATAATGTTAGGCAAGAATTATTGCTATTCTTGTTCTTTTACATATGTGTGTGTGGGTGTGTGTGTGTGTTTACAAAAATGTAGATTATTTCACATAATGTGTTTCAAATTATTATGATTTATATATTTGTAAATAAATCTATATAAATAATTAAATATTTATGTACAAATAAAATAATATTTATAAATATTTTATTTGTACATAAATATTTAATTATTTATATTAAAAATTTATATAGATTTATTTACAAATATTTAATAAATCATAATAATTTGAAACACATAATGTGAGATAATCAACATTTTTGTATACACACACACACACACACACACACATTTATATTTATTATATTTTATATACATTAAATAAATAAACATGGATAAAATAAAAGATATTTATTTAACTTAGTTTAAATTGCGATCCACTCGAATTATTAATTTGTGTTGTTTATTAAATATGTTCAGAAACAATAGCAATTACATATATTAAAATTTTTATTAACTTCAAATTATAGAAAAGATTAGATATTTAAATGTATGTATATATATTTATATGTACATTGCTTTGCTATTGTTTACTGTACATTGTATACATATTATTATATATCTTTATTCCAAAGTAATTGTACTACATTAAAAACTTTAAAATAGAAAAGATCTCAAAAATAATACAATCAAATATATAATTCATAGATGTTTGATTGCATTGGAAAAAATTGCATATATTATTCTTTTATTAACATTTCTTATTATTTATATTATTTTTTATATTTATATTAAATATTTTTTACAATATTTTGTATTAAATATTTATATATAACGATTTTCGGGATAAGAATATGTAACAATATGTTGTAGCGCTTCTATTGTTGTGTTTCCAATAAGCGCAAAAAATTATGATGTTATTATAAGTAATTGATATTTTAATATTATATAATTGACATTGTTTTCCTTTCAGATTTTATAATGAATTATTTCTTTTACTATAATTATATTGATATTATCTATAGAGTTGCTTGTTGCAGATAGATTTGGAGACGTCTGAAGGGCGGATCACTTTCAATAAAGAGGCGTGGATACCATTGAATCAACGCCATATTGCAGCATGTAACGTATGCATAGTGGGGGTTTTAGTGAGTAAGAATCTCACACTACCCCAGAAAACCGGGGTGCCTTTTGAAGGTTTCCCCCACGTAAAAAAAAACGCTGCTGCCATGTTGCTCTAACTTCAATTAATTAATAATGCAATATAATAATCAACAATTATTTGTATATAATAATATATATAGGTAGTATATTTTAATATATAAAAATATTAAAAAATATTTTTTTAAGATTAATAGATAAAAAGAATATTTTTTTAAATATTCTTTTTCAATTTATAATCTTTAAATTAATTAATCTTTAATCTTTAAAATTGTAATCCGCCTTTCTTAATTTTAAAAATCTGATTTTACATTCATTATTTATCAGTGAAGAAATTTTTACATTAATATCTGTGAAAAAAGTGAACCATTCTATCGAACCTCTAAAGACTTTGTATTAGTAGTATAAGGAAACGTGCGAAAAATATTTTCAATTTTTTAATTTAGTTTTTTCAATAAACTGTTTATAGGTTCGACCTTTTATATATTTTTTACATAAACTACAAGAAGTTTTATTTTGAGTCGTCGTAGCACTTTTTATCACATCCCAATTTAAAGCTATATATTTTACGGAAAAGTATCTAAAATGCCCTTTTTTGCATCTTTAGATCAAGATATCTAAAAAACGTGACGTGATACGCAATTTTTGCGGCCGAATTTGTAATCGGCATGAAAAAAATCTACAAAAATACGCTTTGGAAATCTTCGAACCTAAAAAAAGTCATTTTTTGTTGACCAGTGTTATTGATTGAAGCATAGCACAAACTGAACATTTTATATTGTATACATTGTCTGCATAATATTTTACTTATTTATAAAATATATAATATATAAGTTTATATATATGCACACACATAGATATGACAATAGCGTTATCGTGATTTTTTTCGATTATTGAAGTTATATTGTATAATCTCTCTCTTATCTCTTTCTCTCTGCTACATAAATACTATTATAACGTAAAAGAACTTACGAGTAACGTATGATGGCTCAATGCAATAATATTCAATCACGTAAAAAACTTGAGTTCAAATATATCAATATCAATTTTTTTATAATATATTAGAATATAGAAAAATTATAGAAATATAAGGCGATAAACTTGAAAATTTTTAAATATTGAAAATATTTTAATCATTTTTACAATTACATACACTATATATATATATATATATATATATATATATATATATATAAATGCAAAATAAATCCGTAAATAAATTTATCAAGTAATAAATCCGTTGCATGCTTGCAGCTACATATACACACACAAATAGCTGGTATGTTGATTTTTATTAAAAATTTATTTTCTGTATTATTTTGCATTTATATAGTGTGTATGTGGGTGTGTGTGTGTGTGTGTGTGTGCGCACGCGCGCGTGTAGTAAAAATATTTTCAATATATTTATAAAATGTTTATTGCCGAAATATATTTTTTTATCATTTCTCTGTATTCCAATATATTATTAAAAAATTGATATTGATATATTTGAACTCTAATAATTTACTGGGTGATACATACTGAACATCCTTTGCATTGATCAATATTACTCGACATAAGTTCTTTTATGTTATAAGTATTTATGGAGCAAATTATACAATAACATCAATAATAGAAAAGAAATCAAGAATAACCAACGCATATTCGTCAATCTATGATTGCTATACAAGCTAATAATAATTTATATTCGTTCTCTTATTCTTGTCTCTCGAAAAAGTATAAGCAATAAATTATCAAATCTAATAAGTACCCGTGTCTAACATTGTAGACTAATTTACTTTCAATTATGCTACTGTTATTATTTATCATTAGACAATTATAAAACATATATATATATAGCACTACAAATTATATATGTATATGTTTTATAATTTATTTTATATTTTATTATTTGACAAGTTAAATCTCTCCGAATCATAATTTGCGCTTAAATTTTAAAGACAAAATGCTGTAACTCTCTGATATTCCAATCTGTATTTTTGAAAAGGACCACATCCCGTATGGTCGAAACGTTAAAATAAATATATATACAACTTTAATTTGAGGCCAGTGTAGTCAGACCAAATCTCTAACCTCTGTTTTATAATTGTCTAATGATAAATAATAACAGTAGCATATATAATTGAGAGTAAATTAGTATATTTTATATATATATATTTATATATAAATAATATATCCACATATGTGCATAAGCATATATAAAATTTACAAAAATGGGTGCTTATTAGTCTTGCTACGTTACTGCTTTCTGCTACGGAAGGCCAGAAAGCATTTTTAGGCGGCATCTCGCGTATACCGGCACGGTAGAGGAACAAGGAGAACACGTGATTATCGGTCCTTGTCTCTCTTACGTGCGTCCGCGTGAGCGATGCAGTGGTGTATGTACGTGTACAGACATACACCACTACATAAAACCCGAGAATTGGTTTCTCGGCGTTGGCAACACTGAAACCGGAGTTTCGCGTTGTCACCGCACGAGGTCTCCAATATCAATTCGGAGTTTGCCTGGGTGTACTGCCGACCCTTAATTGGCGTAGTGATAAATTTCTACAAGAGAATAAGGAGCCTTTAAATTCTTAATGTAAAAAATTTCAAGTAATTTTCTTTAATAAAATTTAATTAAAAAATTTAATTAAAAAATTTTTGAACACTGTGTTATATCACATTTAAAATCGTGATTATTTCAATAAAAAAACATTTTATGTGTAAAAAATATATTTTTTATATTTAATAAATTTTATATATATATGCATATATGTAAAATATTCTCTCTCTCTCTCTCTCTCTCTCTCTCTCTCTCTCACACACACACACACACACACACACACAACGGGGGCCAAATCTCTCAAATTGGTCTCATGATCAATTAGCCTGGATTCGCACCAGGGGCAAAGTCTGTTGGTAATGTCAAACGAATTTAGCCTGGACTTGCACCAGAGGCAAAGTCTTTTGGTCGAGTCTACGAAATTTAGCACGGACTCGAACCAGGGGCAAAGTCTTTTGGTTCAAGTCTACGAATTTAGCACGGACTCGAACCAGGGGCAAAGTGTGTCGGTAAGGGGCAAAGTCTATCGCACGAAGATGGCGGTCTCTTCTTTAGGCAGGCCTTTGGCGATCTGTCTATTAATCTGTGCTAGTGCTATATATATTTGTTATTCTTTACAGCTGATGACGCGGCACTTATAAAATACATTTTTGTTTTTATTTTATTGTAACAGAGATATTTTTCTAAAATTTTTTGTTTATTTTGAAATAAATATTTGGACATTGGAATAAGAAACATGTAATAACTTGTTCGAGACGATAAGGTTTATTATTGTTTTCTGACTTTTAGTGGTTTAATAGTTTATAATAAATAGTGTTTTATATGTGGAAAATGTGTGTAATTTCATTTAATTAATTGCTACTACGTACAACGACATAAAATTAAATAAAAAGAATTCTTAAAACTTAAAAATCAAGTTCGAAAAATTAGCTGATTAGTTGCATAATTTTCTGAACCTCCTGGTTCAAAGTCTGATAATATTTTAATTGTAAATTAAAGAGGTGCGTTCTAAAAGTAGAAGCAGTTTTAATGTACTCTTCTGACATGGCAAATACTGGTTTATTAATTTTGACAAATCCTGCGAGAGTGAGGAAATTATTGCCTGTGATTAAGAAGCATGTTTTGAAAACACTGTACATTCAGTATCTTCCAGAGAAAAATATTTTTACACCAGGAAATTATAATATCGCGATATCGCAACAGAGAGGCCTGCAGTATTCTAAAAATATCACAGACATATATGTAAACACTTCCACAATTGCCTCTCGACTTGACATTCGTGTTCTACTTACTAACATGAAACACCCTGGTAAATCCATCATAAATACTAAGAAACCAGTGGAAATAGTGATCTTCGATCAAACCTACAGTAAGAAAGAGGCAGATACATTCATACAGGATTGTTTAGCTAATGCATCGATGGATTACAGCTTTGTTACTTGTAACGATCAAGAGCAAAACGATCATAATGATGCGGAACATGCTATACAGAATGTAAAAACTTACAAAAATGTAGTGCTGGGTGGCACGTTTGATCGATTGCACAATGGTCATAAGATCTTATTAAGCGAAGCTGCTTTACGTTGTACAGAAAAACTTACTGTTGGTGTAACAGACACTAATATGCTTTCTGGTAATGACTTTTCTTGTAACTTGTATTATGTAATGTGATTTGATTTAATATTTCAGGACAGTAATATCTTTGAACTTTAGATAAAGAAGATGATTTAATCAAGTGTTTTTGGATAATTATAAAAATGTATAATATTTTCAGGCAAATTATTGTGGGAACTTATACAACCGTGTACACAAAGGATAACTGGAATTAAAGAATTTTTAGAAGATGTAGATCCATCAATAATGCACAATGTTGTTCCTATCAATGATATGTATGGACCTACTAAAGAAGACCCAACACTTGAGATGATAGTTGTGAGTGAGGAAACAAAACGTGGAGGTGACAAAGTCAATGAATTACGTTTGCAAAAAAATTTAAGCAAACTAGATATTTATACAGTAGAATTAGCATTGGATGAATGCTATAATGATATTGAAGAATCAAAAATTAGTTCTAGTAATCACAGGATACGATTACTTGGCACAAGACTTCAAGCTCCTGTAGGTTTTCTACAAAATATTTACAATACAATATAATAATAAATCATTAAATTATAATTACAGATTTTCCGAGATTCTCAGATTCCTCAATTTGCATATTTCAATCTATAAATTAATTAATAATTTTTTATTTTTTACATTATAGAGGATAAATGATAAGCCTTTAAAACCATATATTATTGGTTTAACGGGTGGTATTGCAAGCGGAAAATCTTCAGTTGCTGAAAAGTTGGAAAAACTCGGCGCTGGCCTTGTAAATTGTGATAAACTGGCTCACGATCTATATTTACCTGGAAAAGATTGTTTTCGTGCAATACTTGATCATTTTGGTTCTTCCATTCTCAATTCAGATGGATTTATAAATAGAAAAAAACTTGGTGACATAGTTTTTAATAATAAGGTATATATATATTGTGTGTATCTGTATATAATATTTCATATATTTTAGGTCTATTAATATATATTATTTTATCTAACGAATCACATATTTTAGGAACAACTGGAAAACTTAAATAAATTAATCTGGCCTTTAATTCTGCAAGAAGCTAAAAAACAAATAGATATTCTTTATTCAAAGGGTTATAATATCATTGTAATGGAAGCAGCTGTTTTAATTCAAGCTAAATGGCAGAATGTATGCCATGAAATTTGGACTTGTATCATTCCACAAAATGAAGTTGGTTTTTATCTGGCAAATAAAATTGTTTGCTTATATTATATTTAATACATAATATATATGTGTATTATATACAAATATCTATATTTTATATATTTTTTAAACTTCTGTTATGTTTGCATATTTGTAATAGTTATTTATATAACGTTAATTTTTCTTTATCAGTTTATTTCAATGTACTTACAGGCTATCAAACGAATAATGAATAGAAATGAATTATCTGAGGAAGCAGCAAAGTCAAGAATTGAAATACAACCGAGTAATACAGAGCAAGTTAAAGAAGCTAATGTTGTCATATGTACTTTATGGTCTCATGAAATTACACTAGAACAAGTAGAAAAAGCTTGGAAAGAATTAACAGCAGCTTTAGCCAAAGAAATAAAATAAATCTTAATAAATTTTCTTATAATCATGGAAAAATGTAACTTTTATTTGTAAATAATATTTAATCATTATTCTGTGATACACTTTGTAAAAATATAATACGAAAAAATATTGGTGACTGGGTAAATTGTCGGCAATACAGAAGTAAATATTAATAATAAAAAAAGAATGTTTTTCATTATTTATACATAATTACTATAAAAATAAATATATATTATTTAGAGAATAATATATTGTCATTCAATATTAATTTTTCTTCTTTGTTTTCTTGCAGTTTTGTCATTAAGGTATTTAAGAATAATCGAAAATCATCTTTTAGTTTATCCCCATCATCATCCACATTACACTTGACATGAGAGACATTAGAGAAGCTAGATGCTTTAATTATATAAAATATAAAAATTAATAATATGCGTTATTTTATATATTTGTAACATTAAAACAATTTGATTCATAATTGTGTTTATATATATATTATTAATATACTTACAAATAATTTTTGATGCACTTGATGCAGTATTATCAGGATTAAAAAAGAATATTACACAATTGTTTGGACCCAGTTTCGCTCGATTTATGAAATAATCATAAAATTCTTTCAACTGTGTTGAAGAATCCTGTATTTTTGCACTATATACAAGTATTACACCATGCACGCCTTTACGTATAGCTGGCCAGCAGCTTTTAAATCTGTGAAATATATTTAAAATATCCCGTCTTTCTTTCATTTAAAATTTAATTTTGCGAAAATACATGCTATTTTTCACTATACTTATAATCTCCACTACAATCCCACAGCTCGATGTCCCTTGAGACGTGTTCATCGTTTATTTCAATGTCATTCACTTCAAACTCTAGTATTCGTACACCTTGAGTTGGACGATAATCATATGGAATTTCTGTAGCATCTGCTAAAAAATTCGCTATCGTAGTCTTCCCGCTCTAATAAATAAATGAATGAATATATATCTGTGACCATTGTTTCACTTGTATTACTATATAAAACATTTTATGTGTATATTCTTTCTCAATTCTTATCATGAATTTTCAATTAATGAAGAATTATCTTTTACCTTAGTTGGTCCTATCATTATCAATTTTAATGTATGCATTATTTAATAATGCCTGTTGCAGGAATACTTGTATTATGAACTTAATGTAAACATACACAACAATATAGAACACATTATTGTTTGGCAATTGTTGCTATAGTAACCATTACTTGATACAAATATAATCAATCTAAATCTAAATAAATAATTACAAATATACATGATCAAAATAGATTTCAAAATATATTTCGATTATAAAATTCACTAATAAAATAGCTTGAGATATTTTATATATGCACAAAATAAACAAAAAATAAAAAATATATATAACTTGTATAATATAGATCAATTTGTTCTTACCTGATATAATTTAAAATATATATTTGTAATATATCATTACATTAAAATTGTAGTAAATGTGACATTAATCAAAATTGTAGTAAAAGAAAATCGTATTCTTAAAAATCTAAATTGTTTACTTATTTTTTATAATATTTTGTAATATATACATATTTTATCTCGCTAGAAAATATATACAAGTATGTTATAAAACATATATACAAAATAAACATGTTATACATTTTGTAAAGATTGATAATTTTATTGAATACATTAATTGAATATATTCATTACATTCATTACAATATTGTCTTTAACAATATACTTAGTACTATGCAATATGGTAATCAATTGTCACCAATATTATTATTACAGTCAACATATGATTATAATAAAAATTTCAAGTTGATTTCTATGAATTATTATATTGTAAAATTTATTTTTTGCTATATTGTGAAGTAAATTGTTTGATGAAATTCTTGAAATTTTAAATAAGAATATATTTAATCTTTTGAAATATACATATTAAAGAATATTTCAAATATGGATTTGTGTTCGGCTTGTCATTCTAAACTGCTTTTGTATAATGAAATATAATAATTAAAGTATTAATAATTTTGAATAAAAGCAATATTCATTATTTCTCGTTTTAAGTTGCTTTTCTGAAAGAACTAGTGCAACAAAAATGTAAGCACTTTTAATTAATCATAAAAGAAACACAAAAAATGTAAGTCATAATTATAAAATTATTTCTTGCTTTTTTGATAAATAGAAAGAAAAATAATAAATATATGATATCCAGATTCTATTATAGTAGAAAATATATATTTAATATGTCATATACATATGACATTCAAGAAAATGATATTTTGTTCTTTTATGTAATTTATATATATATTATATATATATATATATATATATATATATATATTCTATTATAGTAGAAAATATATATTTAATATGTCACATATATATGACATTCAAGAAAATGATATTTTGTTCTTTTATGTAATCTATATATATATATATATATATATATATATATATATATATATATATTTTATGATAATATGTTGGATGTAGGTTAAGTAAATAGGTTTTACTTGATTGTAATTAAATATTTTAAAAGTGAGGTGTGAGCATGAATGAGCTAAATAAGCTCACCTATAAAATTCTCAATTATAAAGAGACAAAATGTGAATATTTATATTGTATTAATATCATATATATAATCAATATACAAAATAAGTTATGCAATTCGAATGGGTCATATTACTTTTACAATAGATAGAAAAAAAGCAATAAAAAAGAAAATTGAATATAGTTTCTATATACTATAAATTAATTTTCTTACGTAATTATGTGAACTTATTTTTTTTAATTCTAGAATGTCATTAAAAATAATTTATATTAATACAGAATATTCGAAAAATTGTAAAATAATTGCATATACATAAATTATTCGAATTGTGTAACTTAGTCTATATCTACATTTTGACATGTAATAGAAATTATATAATGATAGTGTAAAGATAAATTGCAAGAATTATACGAACAATACAAGGTTGTTAATATGTAAAAATAATATGGACATCAGTGTATGCACTACAGATCTTTATCAGATGTAATTATCTATAATTTGTAAATAAAAATTAATTTTATTTGTTGGAAAAAAAAATTTTATTTGAAAAAATTTTAAGATTTTATACACAGTAAGTGTATAAATGAGACTTCATGTACTTTAAACATTTATTACCATATTTTCCTGTTTAAAATCTTCAGGATAGGATAAATTGTATAATGCTAACAGAGCCGCCTTAGCTGCTGCCTTTTTGGCATCCTTTTTGTTTTTAGCTATAAAACAAAAATTATTTATTCATTAATAATAACAAAAATATCTTGCAATAATTGTTTTAAAGCCTATATATACCTGTTCCTGAATATTCACATCCATCGATTTCAACAGCTAGAGTGAACATTGTATTTGGTGGATTACCAACACGACTGAGCTCTGCATATGTTAGTCCAGGCTTCATTTGATTCAATAACATAACTGGATGTATATTCACAGGATTAGGTGGAAGTTCCTTTTGAATGGGAGCTTTAGGTGTATTAGGATTATCTTTTTTAGCTCCTTTTGTAACTGGCAAACCAGGTCGTGGAACTGGAACTGATGTTCCTTGATTATGCCATTCAAGGAAAAGTTTATAAAGTGCAAAACTGGCCAGTGAACTCCATGGAATTTCGTCTTCATTAGTACTAGTGTCCATAGCAATACTGTCTTCATTACTATCTTCCTTTACTGCTCCATCAGATAAATTAACTTGCCCATCTGATTCAGCATCTATACGTGCTTTCATAGATGCTGCCGTCATCTTTTCAAGTAATAAAGCTTTTAATGCATTCTCGGCTGCATTTTGACGAGCAAGTGGTTTAGACAATCCTTGTCCAACGTAAGTTTTACCATCAAGCTGTAATAATATAAATTATATTATTAATGCATTTGAAAGAGACATGGATACCAGTATTGTATATTAAATGTTAAATAATATGCATTGCAAAAATTATAATAGAAAGTTAATAAGAGACAAAATAATAGCATAGTGTGTGTGAAAACTCTTATAGTGTTACCTCAGCATGAACAAGATAAAGTGAGTTTGTCATGTGACTTTGAGTTTCAGGGAATGTAAATTGAACTCCGGCTTTCATTTCGTTTAAAACCATGATTGCATTTTTAGGCTGCAAAGTTTTTCTTAGACGCTGGTTCATACGAAGACGTTTCAATTTTTTATTTACCTTAACTAAACAAAAAATGGTTATATTAGATATATAAATGTAATGATACAAATAATTAAGGTTTATTATATATGTCAGTATAAATATTCACATTGATTACAGGAGAATCAATGCTCAATGATATAGTGTCAGAGCACTTGACATTCCTGAATCTTCAAATTTGCGCAGTGAAATGTCATCATAAAAGCAAAATTGAATTTTATATTATAGTATAAACAATAAATGTGTTTAACATTATAATTTTTGTAATTTTCTGAGTTATTTACACTCTCAATTTGGACAGATGTTTTAAATATTTTTAAAACATGACTTGATTATGTATTGAAGATATCTACATGAGCTATAACATGTAATTATTTAAAAAATTATTAAAATTTGATTAAAAATTTAAAATTCAGATATTATGACACGATCAAATCTTTGATATGTTTTTATATTATAAAAATATATTTAATATTCAAATTAAAATTTATACACACACACACACACACACACACACACACCCACACCCACACCCACACACACACACACACACACACACACACACACACACATAATTATAATTTGAATATATATAAATATACACAATTGTGTATATTTCTTTAATTAATTTATAATTAATTTGTAAGTATTTACATCCAGGAATTTTTCTCCGCCATCTTGGTTGAGCATCTTGCATTTCAATATCATCTGTATCCTCTGTTTTTGTACTATCATTATTACCATCAGAATTGTTATTTGTAGAAGTTGGAGTAGATACTACAGGAGGCACACAAGGCTGGGAAGTCACAGATGTAATTTGTAGGGCAGGTGTAACTGGTGGCACACTTGCTATACTTTGTTTTAAGATTGGTTTCAATCGTGGAACTGGAGTAGGTGCCTGCTGCTGCTGCTGCATAAGTTGTTGAGGTTGTTGTTGCGACGGTGACTGCTGGTGCTGCTGTTGTAACATTTGCTGCTGTCCTTGCTGTTGCATTTGCGATTTCATTTGTTGCGTAGGTGCCATCGATGAAGATCGTGTTGCTGTGGCTGCTGACATTTGCGGCGATTGTTGCTGCTGCTGCTGCTGTTGTTGTTGTTGTTGCTGCTGCTGCTGCGACTGTGATTTGAAGCCTTGTGAGTTTTGTATGTTGCCTTGTTTGCAATCGCTTTGTAGAATGGACGTAGATTGCGATGTTTGGTAACTTCCTTGTGTATTAGACTAAAACATAGGGTGGGTCGCGCTAAACAAGGAACCACTACGGTTGTGCTACCCCACCAAGGTCTAGCAATCGTGTGCTATAGAAAAATTAAATGCTACCCTCATAGCTCATACCAACCATGTTACCTTTACTGTGGCCAACGTCTCTTTACTCATGACTGAGCTAAGTTTTTGTCAAATTAAAAATGTATACATGTTACATACTAATAAATAGTATTTCAGTAATTAGTATTATAATAAAACTCTCTTATAGAAAAAAAAAACTCGACACAAATAATGCTTTTTTACTGTATTCAAATTAAAATACATTTTGAAAAGTGAAGAGATTATAAAATCGCTAATATTATAAAATTATATTATAAATTAATGTAAATATTTAAAATACTAAAATTTAATTTCTTAGTCGGCTTAAATAAAATATCCTGGAACCGAAATTAAAGATTAATCATGCAGTAAGTAGAATTCTTATGATATAGCATCCCTACAATGATCAAATTTGCTTAGACACGAGTTCAGCACGAACTACCAAGAAAACGACCTACGGTAGGGTATGCTATGTGGGTAACTGACGACCTAGTCCCTGGTCGAATGCACCTCCTAGGTACTGTTGTATAGCTACTAGTACCTGCGTTGCAGGGGAGGGGAAAGTAGGAACCACTAATTAGTACGTGCAAGTGACTCAATCTTGCTGTACAGCAATGGAATTCATATATTTGGATTATAATTATAAAAAACTAGCAAATTATATATTTAATTAGCATTATGATATTAATCAATATCTTATGTATAATTAATATTTTTTAAATTATATATTATTTAAAACTGCATATTATATATATATATATATATATTGTAACATATTATAGCATTAATCTAAACGTAAGATTTATACCAGCAAAAATTAATTTTATATTTGATCATTTCTTTATCAAAGCTCTAAAATTTATATTAATTATAAAATGATATAAAGTACTATATTATTATATATAATATAAAGTAAAAAAATGAATAAGATATTAAAATTATAATAAATATTTTTAATATATATATGTGCATATGTAAATATCAAATATAAAATATTGAACAATATATTAAAAACAGAATTGTAGTATTGTATTACAGTATTATGCAAATAGGAAAGACAGGAAAAAAAAAGGAAAAAAAAAGGAAAAAAAATTTTTCAGGCAACCTATGAAGTCAATTAAGCACATATGTCATATATAAGAATAAATTAATAATGTTCTCAATCCCTTTTCTATATCTCCTTCCTAGAATTGTTAAAGTATTTGTATAATTTTATTTAAATATAATTTTAAAAAATCTCTTAATATAAAATAATATCTATGCAACTATCTCCCTCTATTTTCTTCAAGAGAATGTGTGCAAGACTATATTTTCATACAAATAAAAATACTTTTAAGTTAAAATTATTGCATTCAATAATCTTAACTATTATATATTCATGTATACATGTGTTTTATACTAATATTTTTATAATACATCTTGCATAATAATATCTTTATTGCACCTTGCATAGCTCTACTTTGTTTACTTTTATATATCTATGTATGATATATAGTGTATATTAATATATCATTAATATATGTGTAAAACAATAGACCTTATAGATATTATAGATATAAGATATTATTATAGATATAAAAAAGAGAAAACTTACAGACATAGGTGTATAGGATCCTTGACTTTGAGGATTATTTGCATTCCGTGCTGCAACACAGAATTATTTATTAATACCTCATAAGAAAATATAACATGTGATTATTGTTGCGAGCGAGGATCTTACTCTTTTTAGCTTTTACTGTAAAAAAAAAAAATAAATAAATATAAATAAAAATTTTTTTTAAATTAAAAAAAATACACCAGATAGCTTGTTACTACTATAAATTTCTCTCAGTACATTGATAAATTATTCACAAAAGCTAAACTGATATATTTTGACTTTTTTATTTTTAATACCAATCATATGTTGAGAGGCTCAAATATCGCTTATTAATTATAATTCATAAATAGCGTTGTCATGCAACGTGTTGATGATGAACAAAGAGAGGAAGGGAAGGAAGGGAGAGATAGAGAGAGCATGAATGACGCAATACTCGCCATTCTTCATTAACCGGTATACAGGTTATTGATTTTTTCGCGCGAGAAATTATTCTTTATTCGTTATACTTTCCGCGCGTTATCGATGATGCGATAAGATACGCAAGTCAAGAAACATTTATATAATAAATATACGATGCTTTACCATTGCCGTAGGATTGCCTGCTTCGTGTGTACATCTTGAAGCTCTAGCTACGGATTGTCCTTGGTTAAAACTTCGATTTAACAAACGTGTAAGAGCGTTTGTTCTGTCAGAGAGATCCGTTTTACGATAAAAGGACCACTTGTAAAAAGATGTAGGAATTAATACGACTACAGATCGAAACTTGTCACTGTTCCTACACGAGAATTTTCGGTAATGCGATATTGCTCGATTCTTCCGCTATGCTTATTCGTAGCATGAAGAAAAAGGAAATGACGTACGTAGAATATCGGAAATGACAAGTGCGCCATGTTGCGGCCGCCCGATGCGCGGGATATTTAAAGATATTTCGAGAGCTCTCGAGATTGCAAGAAACATTTCAAAGTTCGTGCAATCTATTTCTTACAATTAAATTGTACAGTACAGGAAAATTGTTATAAAATTATAATATATATTATAAAATTTTATAACATTAAAAAAAAAACAAATGGCAAAAGAAAAGTGACGATTTACATTTAACAAATTTGTGTAAATATGTAATAATTGAATATTCTTTATAAAAATGTGAAATATATTAATTTAATATAAAAAAAATATATTTTACAATTTAAAATTTAAAATAATTTACTTGCATATACTTGAATTTATTTTACATATACAGATTGCTACTATAATTCACAATTAATTTTTATCTTATATATATGTATATATATATATATATATATATATATATATATATATAATGTAGACTGAAGCATTTTTATAATTTTCTTGTTGCATTTAGAATTTTTCTCTCGAGATCAATTAAAAAATTAAGAGAATAATAATAATTTAAAATTTTAAATCAACTAGACAAAACTTTACATAAAGAAATTGTTAGCATATTTATTCAGCAGACTGACTTATAATTTTAAATATTCTTACATTTTTATTAAATAAAACAAGTTAAAAATAAACTCAAAAAATTATAAAAATTTATTACTATTATATTTATTTATCATGATTACTTATTAAAATATATTCAGTTTGATTTAATGTTACTTTTTCAAAACTTTCAATATTTTTTTTATCTTTATTTATATATTTAAAAACATCCACAAATATTAAATGATAACAAGAATGTTATGTTTTCAATGGTGCTTGTATATTGTACAAATGTTTATAGTAATTGCTCCAATTAAATAAAATTGAATAAAGTAAATTGTTTCACTAATTTTCAAAGTAATCCTTCCATTTCTTGCATAAACTGCATATACGCGTCATCTTTTGTCTTAGGTTGTGTTGCTCTAAGTGGTTGAGTTTCTGGTAATCTTTCTGTAATTCTGGGAATACTGCTGAATTTTTTCTTTTCATCTCTTTTAACTCGCAAAGATGTTGGTAAAAATCTTGTAACATCAGCAGCTAGATTCCTAATTTGTGGTTTTGCTTCAATAGTGGTATTACTTTTTCCGTCTTTGTCTTTTCTATTAATTAATTGTGGTGCAGCAGAAAGAACATTGGGCGTCTTTGGCTGTGCAGTCGTTCCAGATTGCGTTTGCATCTGAGCATTCGTAATATTCGACATATTCGACATTTGCATTTGAGGTGGCGGCATTCTAGGTATGCTAGGAGGTCCGGGTCTCAATATTCTTGGCATTCCAGGCGGAGGACCTGTAAAACAATTATTTATATAATATAACTTCTTCCATATACAAATATATTCATTGATAAACACATGATTGTGAAGCTTATTGAATCGATTTTATATACATATATAATTATATATAATTTATATTTATATAGATAATTATATTATTATTTATATTAATATATAAATATTAAAAATTTTAAAGATATAAGGTAAAAAATATTGGAAAGAATTTTAACCAGGTGGTAAACGGAGTCCAATACGAGGCGGTGGCGGCGGCGGCATTCTGAGATGTAAAGGCGGTGGAGGTGGCCGATAAAGTAAGGGTGGAGGTGGTATGCCCATCGGTGGCATTGCATGTTGCTGCGTATGCTGCGTATGAGACGGATGAGACGTGTGTTGTCCATGACCAGAGAGATGATCCGATGCTCCGGGCGGTTCCAACTCTTCGTCGTCTCCTTTATTATTAGATTTATTATTGTTAGATTTAGCATTAGATTCGTTTTCAGCTTCCAATAATGACAATCGTGCATTAAGATCCTGAGCACGCTCAGTCTCTCTCTTTTTATGAACAACTTCCATTTCTCGCATAAACTGATCGATATCTTGTCCAGCCATTGCCAACATTTTCTGCTGCAACGTAGTTGGCTTGACTTTCGCCATGTCTCTATCCATTTCCTTCTCTTTCTCCACATCTTTCTCTTTATTTTCTAACTCTTGTTTGTCCTCCTTGTCATCAGCAAATCGTATCGTTCTCGATTTTGATGGTGGATCTTTACTCTGTTAATCACAAAAATATTAATATTACTTATATGTTATATTTATAATTTGATGTTGATTCAGATAATATTCAATTTAAGTACATGTTCAATCATATCTTCATCGTCACTTGACAGTTCGGGAGGTGGAAATGGTGGCACACCAGGTGGCTCCTTATTAGGTGCCAATGTAGGCACAGATGGAGAAGCTGCATATGCGCTGGTCTTTTTTAAGATGCTTGGTGGTATTGGAATATTCATTAAAGGATGATGTTGTGATATATAATGAGGATGAGGTGGATACATATGTGCAGGTGGCTGTGGCATATCTGGTAATGGGATCTGTGATGTCAAAGATCCTGTAGAAATATTAGTATTAGTTAGAAAAATAAAAGAAAATTATATTATAGAAAAAAAATTTGCATTTTGGTTTTATAATTATATATTTTAGAATAACATATATTTACCTGGATACATCCTAGATATATCATTAGCAGCTGATGGCAAAGGAATTTCATCAACTTGTACTTGCTGCGCATGTCGTACAGCTTCAAAATAAGACACCAAGTCTATCCTTCTACGTTCATATTGTATCAATTGTTCCTTCAATTCTGCCCATTTTTCTTGATCATCTTTTGCCTAAAAAAGAAAGTGACAAATTAGTTATATTGCAATAAACAAATCAATTGTCAATTTTTGTTATAAGCTTACCAATACTCTATTGAAGAAAATTTACAATGTTACTTACATACATTTTTAAGACACGATCTAAAGTCTCCTTAAGTTTTTTTCGTTTATCCTTCAATACTTTTTCATTCAAAGGAGGTGGTTGCATTACATTGTATTCTAGAAAAAAAAAAATAGAAATATATTAAGTATATAATATTGTTTGGAAATCGAAACATATCCATGGAAAAATAATTTTCCACTAACCCATCTGATCAATCTTCTCCATTTCTTCGATAATCTGTGCTGGATCTTTGCCTTTTAAAACAGCAGCTCTTACTAGTTGTCGTTGTTTTTTATTCTTTTTTAATTCCTTTTTACGTGCTTCCTTTCCTGTAATAAAAAAACAGTTAAATATAATATTTCACATTTTATATACATATATATCTTTTTAACTGTTGAAGAGATGCTCTTTGAGAGATAGTTGGTTATATTCTCAGATACTAACGTGCTTGATCAGTGGGATTCATGTATTTCCCACTCTTTGTGGTGTTAATTGAACGACGCCCCATTTTTGCTTTTTTTTAACAACAATTGAATAATACACTTTTATTGATTATAAAATTTTGCAAAACAGTATTATTTATGTTGTACGCATCCAGTAGTCCAAAAAGCGTCTTGATCAAAAAACTGACAGTTCTCTACTTTATCCTATGGGTAAGTTATATATAGTTGCAAAATGCGCCGCTAAAAATGCCTGTGTGTTCAGAAAACAGAACAGTGAAATAATAGTCCAAATAGTTACTTGTGATTGGTTTAAATATTAAAAAAGGTCCAAATAGTTACCTGTGATTGGTGTGAATATTTTTTAGAACAGAGCGATCAATCATTTCAATTAGCTGTTGTGCTTTCTGAAAATGCATGCAACTTATGTGATTTCAAAATTATAGAAGACGGCATAAAGAGTGTTACAAGAAAGAAATTGAAACAAACAGGTCCAAATTTGTATTATTATTAATAATTGGTTAGATACTTTAAATATGTTTAGTTAAATTTGTTTGTGTTATGTTTTTTTTACGTTATTAACCTTTTTATTAAAGTTCTCTTTCTAGAAGAATTTTATCAATTATCAATGCAGAAATAACATAATTAAATTTAATAAGTTTATGAAAAGTTGCTCTTGCTCATATTTTGTTTATTGATGCAATATTATATATTTTTGATATATGCAATTTTTATTTACATGGACTTACATATTTAGGTAGAAAAGAATGGCTCAACATATTGCACATGATTTGAACAAGATATCACGAACGAAAGATGTAAAGATACAAGAAGATGTTACATTTTTCAAATGGGTCTTCACGAAGATATTTTGGTTGGATTAACAGCTGCTGGCTTTCAGCGACCATCTCCCATTCAGTTGAAAGCTATTCCACTAGGCCGTTGTGGATTTGGTACTAACAATATATATATATATATATTTAATAATGTAGAGATAGATTGACAGTTATATACTAAAAATATAATTGATGGTTTACAGATTTGATAGTACGTGCAAAATCAGGAACTGGAAAAACTATAGTATTTGGGGTAATTGCTCTTGAAACATTAGATATTGAAATATTATCTCCACAAGTTTTAATAATAGCACCTACCAGGGAGATTTCTATTCAAATATCTCAGGTTCTTCAAACAATAGGTTCAAAAATAAAAGGTATATTTAATTTTTGTAATTGATGCTTTATTTGTTTGTAGAGAAATGATTTTCATCTTTTCAATTATATATTTGTTATTAATTATTACTGTTATTATTAGGATTAAAGGTTCAATATTTTGTGGGTGGCATATCGATAGAAGAAGATAAGAAAAAGCTAATCAAATGCCATATAGCTGTTGGTGCTCCAGGCAGAATTAGGCACTTAATTGAAAAGGGATTTCTTAAAGTGTCAAAAATCAGATTATTTGTACTTGATGAAGCAGACAAATTAATGGAAATTAATTTTCAAACAGATATCAAGTTAGTATTAAATTTAAATTAAACTTATATAAAGTTGTGCATTTTTTGAGTGCTATAAATTTGTGCATTAAAGATCATTGTAATAAATTGAGATATGAAAGCTATATGTGCAACAGAATATCTATGTTGCGCATTTTCTCAAATAAAATGATTGTTTTTATATCTTGGTTGGTACATATTAGATTTTAATTTGTATTAATGCATTTTAGCTAAATTCATTATTAGTAATTTAGATTACTAAAATTACAATAATATTAATTTTTTCTTATAGTTACATATTTTCTAAACTACCATACAAAAAGCAAGTTGTAGCCTCGAGTGCTACTTATCCTGAAGATTTAGAAACATTTTTACAAACATACATGTCTTCTTCAGTGTTAACATCGCCAGATCTTGATGCAGCAATTTTGATTGGTGTCAAACAATTTGTGGCCGTGGTTCCTGCACATCTCAATGCTATGAAACAGGTTTTTGCTTTATTATAAGATTTGAACATGTAACTTTTATTTCATTAACAAATGGATTTTCTATATATTGTCTGTTATATTTTCAGGTACAAATAAAAGTGGATGAGCTAGTGAAAATTTTTACAAAGATTTCATTTAAGCAAAGTATAGTCTTTATGAATTATCAATCACGGTATGTATAAAGTAATTTTTAATAATTATTTAATTTTTTAATATATGATAGTTATTTTTTCTTCTAATTTGTACTATTTTTGTAGAACTCAATCAGTAAGCAATAAAATTAATTCTAAGGGTTTCTCATCCTTATATATTATTGGAAATCAAGAAATGGCTAAAAGATTGGAGACAATTGAAAAGTTAAGAAACTGTGAATGTAGAATTATGTTGTCCACGGATTTAACTGCAAGGGGTATAGATGTAGAAAATATTAACATGGTTATAAATTTTGATGTACCGAAGAATCCGGCGACGTATTTACATAGGATTGGCAGAGCTGGTCGTTATGGATCTCGAGGAATTGCTATCACTATTATTTCTGAAAACGAACTTCCGTCATTTAGAGAATTGTTAACTTCAGTTGGTGGATCAAACTTCTATCTGCTTAAACTCAATTCTAATTATGCAGAAGATGTTTGGGCTGACGATATTACAAAGTTTGAGAAAGTTTATGCAAAGTCTGAGACAAGCAATGTAAACATTGATCGAACATTTTTAAAATCTGAAAATGGCATACCTATAATGATATCTACATCAGCGAGCTTATTAGCTTCATCAGTCAATGATACATTGTCAGAAAATAATATTACAAGTACTTCTACTGATAAACAAAATAAAAAATGTGAAAGTATCTCATCCATGGATGCAGCAGTCAGTGATAAGTCATCATTAGAAAATAATGTTGCAAATATTATTCTGAAAAGTGAGGAATGTAAAAATGGCTCATCAGAGTGTGACACTACACTCAATGATACATCATCACCAGAGAATAATATTGCAAATATTAGTAGAAAACATGAAAAATCTAATACCAATATTTCACCAAAAAACAAGAAACATGAAGTTGCATCTAATAATTTAAATATGAAGTCAAGAAGAATTCATTTAATTAAAGAGAAAATAAAAATTAGTTCATTATTTGAACATTATATTCAAGAAAGAATTCAAGGAAGAAACAAACTCCAGCAGTCTGAAAAGCAAAAAGAGATGTCAGTTGCAAAATTTAATGGAGTTGAAATTCCAGAAGAGCATAAAGATTTATCAAATGGAGACTTATCTAGATCAAAGAATGTACATAAGTTCAAAATAACTCTTGATTCAGATAATCCTTCCCTTATGGAAAAATTAAATGAAAATGTCGTATTTGAAATAGATGTATCAAATATAGAGAATTATAAACAAGGAAGTGTTGACATTGAAAATATTATCCAATATATGAAGGCTCCAGCAACCAATGAAAAAGAAGAAGAAAATGATGTGAATGAAAAAGAAGAAAATAAAATGGTTAATAACGAAAAATTATTTACAAATCTTTCTCAGGATACATGTTCTATGGAAGATTCTACTTTAATCCACAATTTGCAATTATCTATAAGCGAATTGGATATTAGCGAAGATAATCAAATATGGAAAAATTAAATGATTATTTATTAATATATTTTAAAGAAATTAATGACAGTAATAGTTGTACAAATGATGAAGAATCTTTTTTGAAAATAGCTTCCAATTGGAAAAAATTACTTGATCTCGAAATTAGTTCATTACATAATATATATGAAGATATGACGGATTCTGTTCATAAGTTAGTATACGAAGAACATTATTCTGCTTTAAAAACTTTCCTTAATATACAGAAACGGGCTTTCTTATGTGTCTTTCCACAATTACGTAATGAGAAAGAAATAGACGATACTTATATATATTCGACAAATAATCCAAATAATTTATTAGCTATGTATAAAGAAATAGAAGAATTTAGAAGTCGCTTCTGCACAGTAAAAACTAAATTTGATGTATATTTTCCTTATCCTATAAATAGTGATGAATATATGCCAAATTTAATGATGTCAAATTTCGAGATTGAAGAATATCGCAAGGCATTACAGTATTTTAATACACATGATAATCCCAATAAAAAAATATTAGAAATAATAGATTACATAGCATTTTTGAGTGAAACTGAAAAGTGTGATTTGATAAAGAAAATAAAAGATCAAAATTTATCATTTTTGGATATGAAGACATTTCTCATTGAGGAAGCAGCAAAAAGAGATTTAGAAAATGATAAATTGAAGAACCATTTACAATTGTCTAAAAAGTCGGATTCTTTGGAAAGAAATGGTATGTTAATGGAACATGAACAATTTGAAAAGCAGGTTTCTTCAGAAAAAAATGACTTGACAGAGTGCGTAGAAGTGCCTCAGAAGTCAGTTTCTTTAGAAAATCAAGATAATACAATGCAACATCAGAAAACTGCTGAAGTAGATTCTCCAAAAATACATATAATAAATAAGAATAATTCAAAAAGATTAGAAGAGATACAAGAAGTTAAGTCTAATAAAGATATAACTGTCAATCAAACTAAGCACGAAATACAAGATAAAAAATATACTAATACAATTTCTAATGGAAATGAAGAAACTCTTGCAAGAAGAAAAGAATCAGAAGAAAAGAATGAAGATTTTAAAGATGATAAGGAACTGTTGCCTCAAGCAGATAAGTCAACGAATGAAGATGATAATCAATATATGTGTAGTACTTCAAGCAGCTCAGCTGTATCATTCGATGAAAATATTGAACAGTCAAGTAGTAAATTTATATTCAACAAACAACAGGAAATGGCATTCAGTAGTAGTCATAGACAAACCAGTGAAAAGGATACTACGTGTAGCAAGGAAGTTCAGAATTTTCAAACTAGATATGTACCTCCACAAACAAATAATGTCCTCTATAATAATACGAATAATTCATATAGCAAACTTAGTAAACATTTAAAGTTTCGTAAAAATAATCCAAAGAATGTAGGTAATTCAGCTACTGCTTGTATAAGACATACAACTGTGAACACAAGAGGAACTTCTCAATATTCACAGAATTATAGGCCAAATGATAATTTAACAAATGATGTTTACTCGCATGAAATGGATATTGAGAGTTTTCTATTATCATTGCGAAAGCAAACCGATCAGTTGCATTTACAGATTTATAAGTCACAAATGCTCGAGAATTGGATTTCATATGATCAATAATTATAGGCAGTATTAATTAAATAAAAAAATATGATAAGGAATTCTGTGAGTTTGTGGAAACAAAAAATATCAACACCATGGGGAAAATTTTTGTTAGGTAATCTTTTCTCATGAATGTATTTATGATCAAGTTGCAACGGCAAAGAATGACATGTGAATCGATCGAAAGGTCACGCATCGCTGATACTTTATACGCATCATGTGAAATGTAAACTGTGTGTCGGAGGTAACCTTTTCTTCTATTCGATTTGCGACGCTACCTAATGATTATGCAATTGGATTGATCTTTTGCGATCGAGTCGTGTATAGTCTTATCGACCGAATATATGTCAGTCAGCTAGCAATAAGGATAATTTAACACGTTATTTTTCTAAGAATTGATAGTAATATTTGTTAACATGCATGTAAATATATGTGTGCGATACATATTTTTGGAGTTATATATTGAATAATTCAAAAGATAATTTTTTTATCCTGTATAAATATTTTTTTATGTATGAATGTTGTTTTATAATAGCTGATTATTATATTAATAGCTGAATGCGTTAATCAGAAATGTTAATCTTGACAGTTATATATATATATATATATATATATATATATATATATATATATGTATTTGTATAATATAAAGATGACATTTATAGATAGATTAGGATAAAGAAACTTTATTTTTCGGATTTTATATTTTTGGTCAAATAAATACTCGATTTTAATATTTCCAATTCTTTTTTTTCTAAATATAAATATATTTCTCCTCTGAAAAATAAAATATAAAAATACAATATGTGCATCTGTGTGTATATATATAGAAATTAAAAATAAAATTTATTAAAAAATTAATAATAAGTTGAATGTCATATGTCTAAAAATATCATCTAGTGATTCGTCAAGGATAAATTTATTCAAGCTGTCAAATGATACTCTAGGACATTCATTCGCCGTATGCCGGCTATGAGTTGAAAGGATCAGGTTTCCAAGGCGTCCTCATACTTGGGGAGAAGAGGGGGACCAGGCTAGACACGAGAGAGAGAGAGAAAAAAAAAGAGAACCACCTTACGAAACTCGTCTCGTGAGAAATTTGGAGTAAACCCTTGTCCGGTGCCCCTGTCCCTTTATTCGCGAAATAATCGTTTGAGACGCGCGCCTAAAAGACCAAGCGCAAACTTCAGTCGGCGACACGTGTTTTCGCGCGAAGCAGTTCCCGGTGTGTGTCCGCGATTCGAGTGTCCGCGTTCGTTTTCGTCGTGTGTCGGCTGTTAATTAGAAAATCGATCCGTTTAATCGCCCCGCGTCTCGTCGTAATTCCTTCGTCCAACGTAATTAATATATTCTCGTCGCAAACTCGTCCGTCAAGTCGCCGTATTCCGCGACCGCGAAATATGTCGTTCGCACGCAAGTACTTCAAGAGGACGCCGATCTACGTGGTCGAGGATCACGACGAGGTAGGTATACCCTCGAAACAGCTGGCGCATCCCACCTCGCATGTCATCCTCGCATGTTTACGTATTTAGAGCCGCATTCAAATTGACACTACAAATACCCCGAAGGTTAGTAGCATGATTCTCGACGGGTCCCATTTGGATCCCGTGTTCCATTGAAGCGTTTGAAGCGATAGCATCTGTCGCGTTCAGAAGTGTCAAGTGAAACGCGCGTGTTGAGACTGCGCCCGCGTAATGTCACGTGACTTCGCGTCTGCGCAGTGACGTCGCGGCGTTCGCGCGTTAGTACGCGCGCTCGGAAATTCGTAGTAGTATTATGCAAAATTTTAAATACCACGTAAGTACATATATACGGACTGTGTCCGAAAAATAAAACAGTGCTATCTAATAACTATATAGTTATAATAAACTAATGAAGCAAAACATTTTATATCTATATATCTATGCATATATTATTGTGTCATATTAAATCTAGGTTACGTTTATATTTCTATCTGTCTAAAAAGATTGATCGATATTTTCGTCATATTTACATAATTTTCATACGATTTTATATTCAAAAAGTGTGAGAAGTTATAAAATCTCGATAATAAAATAATATATTTATCCTTTTTATGTTTTTCACGAGAGATCAACATAGAAATCAAATTTATTTATAAACGAGCTCTTTTATTTATAAATGTATTCGTGAACAGGTATTATACATTGTAAATACAAGTAGATAACATAAATAAGACTGATTGAAATCGATTTATCTCAAATGGATTCTTGAACTTGGCTGGAACAGCGTATCGACTCGAGTCGAGAATCGATTATCGAGCGAACTTCAAACGATAGGGCTATCGATATCACGCCGCCATTACCCGCTAGTTGCCCGCCAAATTGTTTATTTTTCGGACGCGCGCGAACGCGAGTGCTACTAGTTTCTGAATGAATATTTTCTGTATGTGCTGTGTTTATATCATCAGGTTTTGCCGTTCGTGTACCGGTGTCTGGGGTCAAAGCACCTGCCCTTCGAGAACAACACTTTCATACATCTGGACTCGCATCCTGATATGCTGATACCTAAAGAGATGCCGGCCGATACGGTCTGGGATAAGAATCAATTGTTCGAGTACGTATAATATATAATAATTCTATCTTTTTGGAATAATCGAGCGTAATATATGATTCAGTTTTGTAGAAAATATGTGTGTCAAGGTAGGATAATGAGAGGAAATTGATTTTCTCAATTAAATGCAACATAATATGTACATCAATATTGAAGTGAGAGAGAGAGAGAGAGAGGGAGATATATACCCAGATAGCCACAGTAATTATTATGACATCATTTTGATGTCAAAATGCATCATTTGCCATCAAAATAATGTCATAATAATTACTGTGGTTATCTGGGTATATATATATATATATTTATTTATTTATTTATTTATTTGTTAAAGATGGTCGTTGACCTAAAAATTTATATAGATGAGCATGTATATGCATAAAAATTACTCGACTAGTACAAAGCAATATGGTGTCCTTAACATATTGAATGTGATTGGTTAATTTCTCTGTGCAAATATATTTTTATTTAAAAATTTAGTGGTACCAACATGTGAGTATATTTAACTGTTTGTACCACTGGGAAGAATATCATAACTAAACGTATTAGTTTGAATTTATACTCGTGTCGCAATCGGACGTTAATTTTAGGGGGCAATTAAATTAATTGCTTCAGTAAATATATTAATATTGCAGTGTAACAGGTAAATGTCATTGTAATTGTATGAGACGTGAGAAAATTCTTTCATATTGCGTTTTATGTAAAAATATATGTAAGAAACGCTGTATTAAAATCACGCGAATGTATTGCATGAAAAAAACATGCTGTTTATTCTATAAACATTTTAAAGTAATTTTAACCGTAATTATTAAAAATATTTGTTTCTTATACTTTTTCAGTGCGATCAGCATCGAGAATTGGATTTTGCCAGCAGTGTACGCGGGTCATCTCAAGAATCTGATCTGGGTGAAACCACCGTGGGCTAATCAGATGACGGATGGCGTGCTGATGTTTCTTATCGGCAAGCATAAGGATAGCGGCTTGATAAGGCAAGTGTAATTAATTTTTTGATTCGCCCTTTGTGAATCACTCAGTTGAAATATCACTTTCGTCTTTTGTTCTCTCGATTTTCGCAATCCTTTTTATATTCTAATTATCTAAACATATGTACAATTTTTGTGAAATCAAAGCTATTTTATATTTATTTATTTACATTCCTTTATTTATATTTATTCCTTCAAAACTGAATATTATTGAGAGTAATGCAAATTAAACTTGAACAATTCCGAAATAGATATAAATGAATATATGAACAAATATTAGAATATAGATAAAATATTTGACATAATAATTTATATCATATTATATAATAATTTATAATTATTTAAAATATTTAAATTTGTATTATAAATTTATAGATAATTTTATCGATTATCTTTTAGAAAATATCAAAAGAATATCACACAAATACACAATTGTCGAGCTATTTTATTATTTCTTTTAAATTGAGCTATTTTAATACTTTTTGAAGTGCATGGATCATGTTTCACTGTTGGTATTTCCTTCCAATTTTTTTAGAAAATATCAAAAGAATATGAAATACATAATTGTCGAGCTATTTTATTATTTCTTTTAAATTGAACTATTTTAATACTTTTTGAAGTGTATGGATCATGTTTCACTGTTGATATTTCCTTATAAATAAAATTTTCCAGAATTAAACATTAGAGACTTAATTATCGACAGTACTATCGTACGGCAGCAAAGATAAAATGTTATAAGGTTCAATTATCGCGACATTTGCTGCGGCATTCAGCTTCATGAAAGTCATTTCTCACATGGTTAAGAGATGGTATGCGACCGGAGGGTTGACGAGTCGAGAGAACGAACGAGCAGAAAGAAAAAAGGACTAAAGTAGCAGAGAAAGGAAGCCGCGGCGATATATGCCGCGAGAAACCGGCACTCGTGCCTTCAGTGGTCCGTCAGGACCTGAATTATGTTTCTCGAAAATTACTGTGGGGATATACATAATATGTACATGTCTGTATGCTATGAGAGTAGCATGTGGTTTACATTGCTATAATCTGCTTTAAATTATATTTTCATTGATCTTACTATATGGTTATGCGATATTTTTGATAATTTCTGAGTGTCCGTATTTTACGTTTGATGCTCATTATAATGATTGATATTTTATATTGCCTGATATTGAAGTTTATACATATGAATATACATATTTATACATATGAATCTATTTGCACATTATAGAACGTTAACAGTCTACGTTCAAATTAATAATAATTATTTGCAATTTTTTTGAAACGATAATCTTACTCTGTGTGGATATACTTTTTATTCTAATTTGCACCTTTTACACAATATATATACATATATATTGATATATATTGATTAATTATATGATAACACAATTTTGTTTCTTGATTCTTTATTGAATCTTAATTATTATGACATGAATTAACATAAATATCATTTTGTCGAAGAAAGATTGGAGTAATATTATTTGTATTACTTCATATACAAGATGTAAGTATTCTTTTTTAAGCATTTATACTTTTTAATATTCTTAAAACTCATTTAAAATTATAAATATGTATAAACAAAAAAAATGTTAATTTTTCTATTAAATAAAAATTATTTCTCTTTTGGAGAAAATTGCCTAAGATTTTAATTATGGAATGATTTGATTTGGAATCACACAGAAATGTGAATTTGTTTTTAATAAAATAAGAGAGTCAAGTTTTATTACATCAGCTTATGTAAATATTAATAACCGTGCATAATTGCTTTAATCTGATAAATATTATATATGTATACGTACATAGATATTTTATTTATTCGTAATTATTTTTGCTATTAATCAACTTTTGCTTATTTAATTAATGTGATTAATTAATGAGAAATAATTAATGAGATGATACATTTTTTGTTTATACATATTGAGTAATTTGGGTCAGCATCTTGAAAAAAGCGCATCTGGCCCAAACACTCGTATCCAAAATTTGTGGCGCAACTTAAAAAAAGTCATAAATTGTATGTCGCGAAAAGAGGTTAATGGGGTCTTGTGCGGCAATATAATAACGGGAGTTCGGGGACACAGTGCTTGTAATATCAAATTAATGAGCGCGCCGGCTCGTTATATTGAATTACACTCGCGAAAAAAATTTCTCAATTATTGATAATTGTGCATCGTCATACCGGGCCTAGGACCTTCGGCAATGCGTGCGACACCGTGTCGATAAGATCAGAGGTGTGCGATCGCATCGGCCACTTTTTCGTCGAAGTTATTCATACGTAATTGCCTGTACCCACGCAGGTGCCTGTTCCGCATCATTCGATTTCCATCGATGTTTGTCCCGAAGCTATGTTAAACTTTCTTATCCGTATCCGCGTTGCGTGCAAGCTGCACGCGCTTTCTTCTTTCGATCGTCTAAGATAGGAGCCACGTGATACTGTTAATTGTCACTAATTGTCGTTAATTTTATCACCCTCGTCGACCTTGAATTGAAAATTAATTGCAATGAAATAATTAAGGGCTTTATCCGTATATAAAACGAGATTGAGTTTTGACATTTTTACAGTTTAAAATTTTATTAATCTACGAATTTTCAGTATTTTTTTAATACCATAAAAGTCTTTTTTAATAATATAAAAAGAGATATTGATCATGATATTTTTTTTTTTTTGATATTTGCTTGAAAAAGGTTTTTATATTCAAATTCGTATGTTTTAAACATGCATGCATTTAATTGTTGTTCAAGTAAAGGACCATGCACTATAAATTATATTACTTTTGGTCGATTTTAATGGTGGCTATTTTTTTATATAATTAGTGCGTAGTTCTGTTGTCCAATATTGATACATTTAACTGCAAGAAGCTGCATTAACTTGACTTTGAGATAATAACATGCTAAATTATATTAATACAAGTTTTGCAGATTGCTTAGAAAGTAAACCATAAATTAATTGATTTTTATTTCAAATTTTGAATTTATTTTTGATCGTTATCCTCTTAATGCATTTTGGATTGACACAACACAATAATGAATCCATAAATAAATAAAGATGTTATATAGATCAGTTTCTTGTATTCACGTATGTATTTTAGCATATTATTGATTCTCCATACTTTCTACTATACGTATATCATTGCTTAATGCATTGTGGAAAGACATTTTGCATTATTCATAAACCAAACTATTTTGAGAAACACTATAATCTAATGCCGCCGTTTTCATTTTTACCGATTTTTTTTCCGCTTGCGTCAAAGAGATCTAAAAAGGCCAGTTGTGGCGGATTGCGCGACAATGGACAATAGCGCAATAATCTACAATAGAGATCCGCCTGGAGATTCCATGTTGAATGAATAGGTCCCGTAGGACAATCATCTCGTAAACTCGGCTTCCTTATGGAAGGCTTCCTTCTCATCCACCTCGTGGATTGCTCTTTTTGCGCTCTGTTTCACGTTTTGTGGCTCTTTGCACGAAGCGGCACTAGAATCGCCTACTTATATGCGAGTGTCGAGTAAGAAGAAAGCTGTCCAGCTTTATGTAGAATAGCGTAGCTAAAATATTATATAGGGTGGGTAAAATATTATAGGATTGTGAATATCGCACTCTATTGTTTTACTTGCTTATTGTTAGTCTATTTTTTCTTTTTTTTTGTAAATATCAAAATTATAAATTATAAATATATATCTTTAAAATGCACGTATAAATGGAAAAATGCGATGTAATTATTTTTATTAAAGTATATTATATTTTTCTTATAAATATATCTATATTATACATACATATTTTATTGTATATATAATAAAAAAATATAAGTAATATCTAGATATACTTAAGAAAAATATATATACATGCATATATATATTTTATATTTTATTATTACATTTTATTATTTTAGATTAAAAATTTTATTTTATTATTATTTTACATATAAAAAATAAACTGTTTTAAGCATTTTCTGTTTCTACTATAGTTAAAATATCATTTGCGTACTTTGAATACTGCTAATGTAAAAACTTTTGTCTGATAACCTGAACAGTATATAAGTTATTTAGTAAAATGCAATAATATTTCTATTTTTTTGGTGCTAAATGCGATTCATGGATATTTATTTCATTTACAAACACTAATCAATAATAAATCAAAATAAATATTATTGTTTAAGATACCTTCTTGTGTATTAAAATGGAAGCTTATTTTCTTAATATAAAACATTAATATTATACGTTAACACACACGTTAAAATGTTTTTACTCCGTACAAAGAAGAGAAAATATATCCGTTTGCAATAATAAAATGTAATATAATAAAATGTATTATATTAATATAAGATAAAAATATGCATTTAAAAATCAAAATTATAGTTTTTAGCGACACATTCAATTAATATTTTATTATAATGAATGTATGACATATCGTCAAGGAAAACCAATTATGCGAATTCGCTATTAATTGATTATTTTTTTATATAATATTTGCGGCAATTCACGTTCGCAATGTAATATTACGTAAGATATACTGACGTTAAATTCTGCATCTACATTTAAAGAATATTAATAATTAAACGCGTCTTGGTACATGTAGGGAAGTATAATGCACGTGCAAATTCCGACATGGATTGGACTTGGCTATAAATTAACCAACATTCTTGCCGACCTTTTTCGCGGTTGTCTCTTATTCATTTCTTTCTTTATATTAGTTTAACGACCATCCACCTTTCTCCTCATCAATCCTGCTCGTTTCTATCGTGTCCGTCGGCGCTCAAGCCATAATACTTCCTCGTACCTCAAATAACACTGATTTGATCGCAATGAAAGCGACACCTATCAAATAGGATGTTTTATCTTACAATTGAAGTATGATAGTAATGATATAATATTGCTTCATGATGTACAAACAAAGTATAGTAAAATGTTTACTGGAGTTCCTAATACAATTTTTTCTTATCGAGATTTTCGTTCTCTTACTGTTAGTATTATATTTGTGTGCTGCGTGTTAAATTTTGTTTTCATGCATTGATA